TATATATATATATATATATCTGCTTTTTCTCTCCTCTTCTCGTCCTCTCTCTCTTTCTCATACATACACATATATATACACACTCATTCTTTATTTCTCCCTCAACACCATTCTTTTCTATCTATTCTGTTCTTGCCTTCATGTCACACACGCGCACGTACGCACGCACGCACGCACGAATGCGAGCGAGCGCGCGTGCGTTTGCACACACAAAAACATACATTTATTTCCTTCTTTTTCTTCCTTACGTTGTCATATACATGCAACTCGTACATACAACATTCTCAACACGAATCTACGCGTCGCATTTTTGCCACGTGTCGAACGATTAAAATGTGTGTATATACATGGTTTACAAATTGAAATGGATTTTTATACGCGAGAACAGTTTCTCAAGCATATTTCTTCGATCTCGGTCAGTCGATTGAGTGCATCTTAAAATTGAATATTCCATTTTGGGAAATGGAACGCGATTCTAACGATGGAAGCGAGTGACTGTTTTTGTGACTTTCGATCTGTTACCGCTACCACTACCGCTACCGCCACTCTTTAGTCACCACAGCCACCATCATCACCACAGCTACCAGTAGTAGTACCACCACTACTCATTACCACCACCACCATCGCCACCATCACAACCACCAGCACCAATGCCACCGCGTCCACCTCCACCACCATCATCGTCATCATCATCAGCACCGTCACGGACACTGACACGGACTTGTTCACGAGCTACAAATACCAACACCACCACCAATACGACTCTCATCGTAATCGCGATTGAACAGCATGCCGTTCCTAAACAGAGTTTGATTTCTAAATCTAAATAACATACGGTTCTTTTATTTTCTCATTTTCTTTGAAAATTTCATCCCTTTTGAAACTTAAAAACTCACATTGATTTTTCATTGTTTATTTCCACGTAAATGACTTCATCATGTGGGTTCGTAAAATGAACGATGTTTCGTGATATTTGTGGATTCAGAGAGAAAAAAAAAAAACGTTCCAATTATATTTTGTAATCGAAAGTTTCGTTTCGGTTTCTGATCGAAATCCGATTTGTATCGAATTTGACGTGCGTGTAATCATCATGTGCGTGCGCGCGAGGGTACGCGCATTCGCGAGTACGACTCGATCAATGTGTGCTTTATACATTTCGTCATTCGCTATTTATTTAACAATTATTCGTTTCTCAAACAAATCGGGTCGTCAATTATGTGGAGACATTTTCCTATATTTTTTTCTTATCGTTTATCCGACGAATGGAAAAATTTCCCGGCTAGTGATTGATTTCGAACGAGGCGAAAGTATCGCGACAATGATGATATCGATCGCGGGTACAATACACGATGGAAATCGAGCACGTGTTGAGCGCGATAGCCGTTCGAGAGATCGATTCGTATATATATATATATATATATACGGAAGGAAAGGATTCTCTTCCACGATCGTATCCCCGAATTCGCGTCAAATGAAATTGTACACGTGACAAGTGACGCGTAGAAAGAAATATATTGAAATTTCCCATTGATAAGGATCAGAGTGGAAATGGAATCGCGTCGTCACGTGTCAACGATCATCAATTTTCACGTTTAGAATTTCTAATTTCGCGCTCGCGTACACTGTAGCAAATTGTGCCGTAGTTGTAGAAAAATATTGCTTGTTCGCGTTACAGGAAACGCATGCGACCAAAAGAGAAGAAAGTTACAACGTTGCAGCGTTGACGGTAAATGCAGGGTTCGGTGAATGTTGGAGGAAACAGAATGTCCAGCGAGCAAGCGCGAGCAAGCGCCATCGCAACGAAAGGTAAGTTTTAATCGTTTAAAATTTATCCTCCGCTTTTATACTTTACGTTCGACGAGTGTAACGGAGAACAACAACGATCAATAAATTTCGGATGACGTATCGTAATTTTTCGAATCGCGATTTACACGCGAAGGAAGCGAACCCTCGTCGAGGTCATCGTCAACGTCGACCCATGCTTGCGGTTGACGCTATTCTAACCGCGTGGGAACCAACGGTTCGCAAAGTCACCGTGACGCGTATTCGAACAATATTGTCGCGGATAAAAGACGCACGGTCATAAACGACAATTGTAGTAACGTAGATCACGGATCGCGTCTACGTTAAAAATTTTTCCTCGATATCTGTCGATATTGGGAATCGGTCGCGACACAATCAAGTGGAACAAGATAGCGAAATATATAGAAATTGTATTTGGAACGATCACAGCCGCGGCTCGCTTCTCACGGTTGATCGCGAAATCGCTGGCGCGCTCTCAACGTCAACGCGGAGGTTCATTCATCGTTTCGTATATATTTTCGATTCGTGCCACCCCTTCTCTTCCGCGATCGCACTTGTTGCCATTGAGCGTCGAGACGAGTCGAGTACGGGCGCATAGATCATCGATGCGACACGATGTGACGCGATTAGACCGGACCAGACGAAACGAAACGGAAAGAAGAGCGCAACGCGATTGGAAGAGGGGGGGGGGGGGGGAAAGGGACCAAAACGGAAAATTAGAATTTCAATTTCGGTTTTATTTTAATTGGCGCGAACCAATTTTCTTAATGGCAATGCGCGTGGATTAAAAAAAAAAAAAAAATGCGACGATATAAATGGCGTGGTCAGAGGGAAGGAAGAAACAAAAATAAATCTCGAAACGCAGCGGGGATCTTTCGATCCAAAATAGATCATAGATCACCGACCGTTCTTATCCGTCATACGTAATCCGTGATCCACGATCAATCAGTAGAGTTATTTCCCGTTTCGAACGGCGAAGCCTACGATTGATCGCGAACCGTGAGAGGAAAAGAGAGAAGGAGAGAGTGTGTGCGCGCGAAAGAGAGAGAGAGAGAGAGAGAAAGAAAGAGAGAAAATGCGAAAGGGAGGGAAGGGAAGAGAGAGATGGAAAGAGATAGAGTGAGAGAAAGAGAGAGAGAGAGAGAGAGACGGCATAACGTTTGTTGCACGGTTTCTCGAGCTTTCTATTTTTA